GATGTATCGCCGCGATTTTCACGGCGAATATATTCTGCTCACGGTCTACGTCGACGATCTCCTCTACACAGGGTCAAGCAACGAGTTGCTCGAACAGTTCGAGAAAAATCTTGCGGGGCGCGTCGACATCACCTGCAACCACAACGTGAAGCAGTTACTCGGCCTCAACATCACTTACTCGCCAGACGCCATTCACCTCTCGGCAGCCAAGTACGCAGAAGAGCTTGGCAAGCGCTTCAACATCGCACCTGCACCACTTTCCACCCCTTACCGTACTCCAGGACCCAACCACAAGCCTGACAACAAAGCCCTGTCCCCTGCTGGGCTTTAGACTTACCAGCAGCATTTGGGATGTCTGCTCTTCGCCTCAGTCACCTGTAGGCCAGACCTCACGTACATCGCGAGTCAGCTGGCCCAGTACTCCCGCAAACCAACGGCTGAAAATCTCTCAGATCTCCAGCGGGCGCTTCAATTCTTCATTTCCACACCCAATGTTGGGCTCTGCTACTCCACCATCCCAACCGCATCCTTCAACCTCATTGGCTACGTGGATGCTGATCATGCTGCCGATCCCGATGATCGAGGGTCCAGGACAGGATTCCTCTTTCACCTCGAGCCAAGCGGCCCCATCTCCTGGAATTCACAGAAGCAGGAGCTGGTTGCCCTATCATCGGCAGAAGCGGAGTTCATCGCAGCGACAGCAGCTGTTCGCGAAGGCCTCTTCCTTCAGGAGCTGTTGCAGGAGGCGAAAATTCCAGCTTCGCCAAACTTCCGCCTGCACTGCAATAACCAGAGTGCGATCAGGATCGCGAACAAACCTGGATTCGTCAACCGCACCAAACACATCGCACTGCGGTACTTCTTCGTCAAGGACGACAAGGGCAAGGTTGACCTAACCTACTGCCCGACAGGTGATATGGCAGCTGATTTCCTCACGAAAAAACTGCCGCGTCAGCAGTGTTAGCACTGCTCCGAACTCAGCGGAGTAGTCAAGCGGGTCAAGACCTGCTACGGCCAGGAGTGAAGGGGGGTGTTACGAATAGTGAGATATGAATGAATTATTCTGCACTCCTTACCGCAGCTAGCGAAGCAGGCACTACCGAAGATGAAGCCGAAAGGGCGGAAGTGACGCGAAGGGTCGTACGGTTACGAAAGCATCTGGACCGTCGGTAGACAGCATCAGGCAGCAGCAGTGGCGAGGATTCTGCCCAAACAGTTTCGTAACCACCTGGAGTCGCACGGTTGAGTTTCGCTGTAATAAGGGAATGTACCCCTTAGAGTACATGGCTAGCTAGGACGTTTCATATTCCCCTGTACTCTTACTTATAGTGCTGTATTTTCATGTTTTTATCATCTCAAGCATTTACATTCACTTTGCTATTGAGGTCAAGGGCCCACCACCACTAAGTCAGTAGTGTGCGAACCTTCCTGAGGTGATCCTGGCTACGATCAACTTCTGATCGCAACAGCAACAATCACGAGCCACAAACTTTTGGAGTTCATTCGCGTGGCACAATGGCTGACGCAGATAAAAACCCCCATTCCGTGACATGGCAGCGCGAACATGCTTGTTTGGTGGCATATCGTCCCCCAACATAGCGAGCAGCAATTCCAGGAACCAGTTGGAATTCGCCGTGTCAGCTCGTACGGTCATGGTCCATGGTCGAGATGAACCTGGACTGTATTGATGTTACTAAACTGTATGGGATAACGCCCCTGTAAAAATGTACATCTTCTTCTATGGTGTACTCTGCCAGCAACGTCGGGACTTGTAAGATGGATAGACTGTTCACAAATCGCTGACATCAGGCGTGGTTAAAACAGCTCCTCTAATTCGTCGGCACAGGCGCCCCTGACTGCGCGCGGAGCTCCATCAGCGCCGGTACTCGGCAGCTCGTGCTGAGTGAGAGGCGGGTAGGGGGGAGGGGTTTGGGGAGGGGAGGGAGGTGCTTCAGAGCAGGGCTTGGAAAACAAGGAAAAACCCGCAAATTCGTTGACATAATTTCTTCCACAGCATCTCCTCTCATATGCTGCAGTACAGAGCGTGATGAAATGCAGGTCGTTGGGGTGGGCTCCTAGGCAAGTGCATGAGAGAAGCAGCGTTTCAGTGGATGAATGAGTACGATAAGGCGATTCGTTCGTCCTCGCTGTAAAGCAAATCTTCGATACGAAATAATAACTTCCTAGCCCCAACTAGCCCGGGCCAAATCCCCTCACTGCATTCGTAATCAGAAAAGAGAAACATAGGGTAACGGGATGTGGCATGTGGCTCTGCGATAGTGAAATGGTAACGGGATGGAAATGGGCAAGGTGTAGAGTGTTGTACGCGCTATGCAGGGTGTTGACGAGAAGTGTATTTTAGAAAATATCTGAGAATATTTCCCCATCAAGCCCGTTGCCGCCGTGTATTCTGTACATTTTCCCGCGTGAATTCAGGGCGTATTCCTGGGTGGTGGCAGGGCCACTATAGCAGGCACTGTTGGTGGCATGCGGGAAAACCGCATGCCACCAACATTTTGCCCGAGGCGCGCACGACTCGGATTTGGTGGCATTGAAGTGACATTTTTGGGACATTGCCCAATCACGCACCTGTATTTGCGCGCCAAATTTCCTGACACCAACCTGGCGTTTTATGTGTTCGTGGCAGGCTGCCATCTACACTGGCCCTGCCACCACCCAGGGATACGCCCTCAGTCCAACAAAACTCCGTGCAACCCAACTCGAATGATTGAAACCTTATACGTTTCGCCTTCATTCCCGTTTTCGCATCTCAGCTCGCTGGAGACGCCATCCTTTCGCAAATCGCAAAAGAAGCGGAACCCACGTTGATGGGGGGTTGTTCAGGTGACCAGGAGGAAGTTGGAGTCGCGTCGCATGTTGATGATCGATGCGTGATCGATCGTGAAGCCCTCCCCACTCACCTCGCTCAGATTGATAAGCTTGAGATCAGAGGCGTTGATCCGCGCATGTACATGTACATGAACATGTGCAGTAGCGGTTCCGGTCCGGCATAGGCGCCGAAATATAATACTATACTGTTCACCATTTTCTACTGTTGCTTGCTGCTCTCTGAACCGCAGGAAGCGATATGTTTCACCAGATTGATTGGTTCTGTTCTGTCCGAACCTCCCAGGCGAAGCCAGCTTGGCGAGCCCAGATTCGCGCGGCACACCTGAACCATCCCTCCCAACTTCAACCGTCGCGCAAATTTCGCCCGCTTTGAACAAGGTGCCTGCCAGATGGAGGCAAAGAACTCCCTGGCCGCACCAGACGGACCAGCACCGAGAATCTAGGCGGGAAGCATTCTGCGCGGCGGCGAATTCCCGATTAGCAATGCTACTGCTCTTATTGGTTGCGAAAGCACGTCACCACTCGCATCTCTTCGTCTATCGGCACGACTTGTGACATGCTCCCAAACTCAATTTCGTGACTTGTTTGAGACATTCCCATCACTGATAAATTCCAGCGCTTCACCACTCTTCTCACATTCATTTTCTCACTCGTCATTGCAAACGCTGAGGACTGAAACCAGCACTCACACGATCAATCACGGTAGTTTCAGGATTACCTTCAATTCGCGCCATGGCGTCGTGGCAGCTTTCCGTTCTCGCCCTCTGCACGCTCGCGTCACTGCTGGCGCCTGCTGCGGCGCGGCCTACCAAGGAAGACTTTATCGACGAATTGAAGAAGACCCGCGACGCGCTTGCGGATTCCAAGCTGAACAACAAATATTACGCCACCCATACGCTTCTTGACCACGTCATCCCTCAACTGGGTAAACCCTGCTGCATTTCCCGCAAGTTACATGCACGCCGTTTTTCTTTCGTTCTCTGGTAGATTTCGATACCTTCTTTGGCTTGACACTGCTTCCGTTTTTCTTCGTTATAATTTCAGAGACCGACTGGAACCCGAATGAGGATTTCCTCAACAAGGTCGACCACAAAACCATGCTGCTGCCCGAGGACACCGTCATTGCTTCCAAAGCCCCGGACGCGCTCGCCATGATGGTGAAAACCGGCATGAGGCGCGGCGAAGTCGACCCCTACACCAAGCTCTTCCGTGCGCAGATGATCGACGGCGTGTACGAGGAGGACGACCTCGCGAAGGCGTCAAATCTGAAGAACGTGAATGGCGGCAGCGTGAGTACGGATGAGATTGTGGACGCGACGACTAAGTCGAAGAAGGTGGCGATTGGAAAGGGCAAGGCTAAGATTAAGCATGCTGGAATTTTCCGGGGAAGGTTTCTTACCATCCATGGCGTCGACGCGTCGCAGCCGGAAGAGTAATCAAGTTCAACGGATGTTCTTCTTGGAGTGGTAATAATCATGCTTTCTTGCAACCACTGGTTGGCAGATAGGCCAAGTGGTTAGCTTTTTTTTGTTTAAGTTTGTGTAATATAGCGGGTTGTCTCTGATGTAATCGAGCGGGTTGTCTCTCTATGGCTGTGTTTGTATTGTGCCACATCGCAATGCAAAGAAGTGCGCAATTCCTGCTGACATCTCTAGATTGGTAAACTGGGGAATAACATCGCGAAAAAGGAAAGCTGCGATTTTTGGCCCCCGAAGGTTTTTCTGCGTCGGCCTTGCGATAAAGTTGCGGAAAGTTGCATAAAAACACCGCACCCAAATCGCAACATTTTGCACATCAGAAACGCACAGCGTCATCGTACACACAAAAGTGACTTGGCTGTAACTTTTCCGCAAACATGTAGGAAACTCGAAGCGCACATCTACTTCTCGAGCCGCACGCGCGGCTCCGAAATCCTTCACACCAAAGTCCGCGATATAACTATGCCGCTTCGTGATTTCCGTCACAATACAACATCTGTGTGCACACTTAGTTTGCTTATATCCACATCAGCCCAACATTTTTCCACCAACTCCCAATAACATTGCACACACAATTACAACCACAACTACAACATCAACAATGCGTCCCCCCTACGTACGGTACCGCACACAGTCGACGCCCACAACCAAACCCCACTACTGCCAGGCGCATCACTGGTCGTCATCACTCTCCAGCACTTCATCACTCTGCAGCACTTCTTCGGCTGTCCCGTCCTCAGCTCGCCCCCCCGCGCGAGCCCTCTTGACAGGCGTCCTGCATAGGCGGGAAATCACCTCCTGGTTCGATGCTCCGACCTCTGCTGGCACAGCCGCCGGGGGGATGCCGAGCTCATCGGCACGCTCCACGTACGCGCGGGTGACGTTGCGTATCACGCGCCTCCTGCTGCGCTCGTCCCGCAGGAGTGGGCCGTCTGGCAGGCTCATCTCGCCCGACGAGTCATCGGACGCGCTGTCAGCAGGTGTGGCTCTGAACCCCTGCTCCACGCATAGTCCCGCGTCGCAGTTGATAAACTCTGCGGCCGTCATGTAGCACGCAGGCCTCACCTTGAACTTCTCGATAAGCAACTGCAAATCGACGCATACCGAGATAATAGGCTCAAACATGCCGGTTGCGCACGTGTCACCCAGGTACGCCATCAGGGGCGGCCAGCTCGCCGGCACGCATCCTGCGCGCCACCAGCTCCGCTGCATGGTTGCCGCGCGCACACGAGTCCACGATTCTCCCAGCCACTCGAGCATGTCGTTATAGTCGACATCCGCGATGGAAGCCGAATAGTCGAATTGGAACCGCTTGGACCCTATCGCACGCCTCATCAGCATAACGCGGTAATACGCCTTTAGCGCGTCACCCACTCCCTGCAGGTGCGGCAGGCCCGTCTCCGGAACCGATCCACGAATGTTGACGATTCGGGTGTTGGTGAGGTGCTGCACACTGAAGCCGTGCTCCGTGACTGGCGGCGTCACCTCGCCGGTGATGCGATGCGCCTTGTGAATGGTGAGAATGATGGTGTTGCGATCACGGCTGAAGTGCACACCATTGACTGTCTCCACAAACTCCGTGAATACCTGTGTGCAGTAAAACAAACATAGCGACATGTCACCATCGGCCATTGCGGTACGCAAATACAACGGAGATGGACGCGCTGCTGATGTACTCACACGTGCTAAGCACGTCCAACCATAATAATGCACAATGCGCACTCATCCATACCTCCGGCGTCAACCGCCCTCGGTTCGTATACCGAACGGCCACCCTGCGCGAAGCCGCGCTCGCCCGCCGGCGCTCGGCCCTATTTGATGGCTCAAGCACCACCAGAGGCACCGCGGAACAACTCCCCGTCGCGTTGTAGAGGATGCCGACGCTGACGATACGCTCCACCACATTGCGCTTATCCGGAATGTACGACTTCGGCAGCCGGCTGGGAAGAAAATTAATCTCGTGGAAGCAGAACACGTCATCAGGGTGCGCGGTAGCAAGCAGGCCCTTCAGGTCACCCATTGTAACACACTGTCACTCCGGTAGGCAAGTATGCAATGAAGTGCACACGACCTCCTCCTATATACGTTTCATTTGACCGTAACGTACCCCCGGCTTGCCCCTGCACGCACACTATGTACATCAGTTGACATTGGCCACACAACCAACCGAACACAAACCCTGCGCCGCACAGAGATAACGCTCTCCTTTCATACGTCCACCTGTAACGATCACATAGGATATCTCGCCCGCACGACGCCACGTACGCGTCACCCGTATCCGAACAACCAACTGCCTGAGACCGCGAGTGTGCACCACCACACATTGTCGTTGTGCAACCCCGACCGCACAACGAATAAGCGTGCCTGTATGCTTTATATGCTTCATATGCCAACCTTGATACTGCACACATATACATGATTGCACGACTTATTATCCGTTCACTGAGTGCATAATAGCATCACCGCTGGATAACACAAGTTCCATCAAACCGGACCTCTACACATAAAAATCGCACTACCCAAAGATTCTCCAAGCAACGTTCATCGCTGCAACCACTGTCTGAAAACTCATTGCGTCACTCGCATAGTATAAACCTATTTACTAGCTGCACCTTTTTGTTGCTGTACGAAGGGCACACGTGCACAACTCTCTGCAGGCTTTTCAGCTCCACCACCGAGAATCTCACATCCTCCACTGTCTTGTGCAGCTGCGTACATCCCGTGAGGTTGCACCTCCCAGCCTTCTCATAGTACCTCACATATGCGTACCCCTTCCAATCCCCATCACGGTCAACCGCCCTGAAGATGCACAGACATTTTGCATACCAGTCCCCACCCTTGTCATTGAGCAGCGCCACGTCCGAATACCACCTCTCTCGGGGCGACGCCTTCACAAATGTCCCTTTGGCCACCAGCTCGCCGCCTCTTGTGCGCGGAATGGCCACCGCCGTGTGGACCTGTCACACCATCCCAACCAAACCAACAACACGTGCACATCATGAGTGCGGTGAGCACCATCATGTAATACTACAAACGTCACTTGGCCGCCACATTGTAATCACTTCACCTGCACGCTGTTGGTAGCCAGACCCAACGCCTTAAACTCATCAGCCAAACCCTTCATATCGTCTCCCAGCGCGGTTATGTACTCATCGTACACCGGATCCGACGCTCCGCCAATCCGCATTGTCCGATACTTCTTCTTGAGCACCGGTATCTTCGTCTTGATTGCCTGCAAGTAACACACGCATTCGCACAACGAACCACACGGTGTTTCAAGCACGCCTCCACCCCGGTGTGCGGTGTACTCTGGACTACCAACACTGGGCATCATCGTCGCCAGGACCCCCTAACACACCTCACGTAAGGCGGACGCGTACTGTCGCCCACCCCCAGCGTCCGCCGCCACCTCGCGGTACACCTCGCGCTGCACCTCCTCCTCCACGATTCGTCGAGGTATGTCGCTCCAATTGCTCCCTCTTACTGGACCCTTCACCGTGCCCTTGTGCGTGCGCTCCCACATTTCGGTTGAATAGTGGTGCGGCATCCCACGCTCCTTTACGTTGTCCAGCAAATGTCTTATCATGTGTATCTTTGGGAGCTTCCAGTGGGATGCCTGCGATGGGAATGCCTTCGGTAGCAACGCCACCAACCTGCACCGGCACCCCCGACAAGGCACAATACTGGATGCATCATCGTATATGGCGACCTCAAAATAGCCGTGCAACTTTCAGCATACCCTCCCATAAATCCGTGTAACCGGTCGTGCGTGGGGTATACAAGTACTCACGCTATCGCATGCTGCCGGGCAATTGCAATTGTCGTGTGTGTGTGCCTGTCAACCCCCAGAAACGCCTTGTAGAACACGGCAAACAGCCGGAACGCCTTGACCTGCAAAGCACGCAGCTCTCCATCCGGTCCAGCCTTCAATGCACTCTCGTCTGCCACCAGTATCGGCATTATCTGCATCATGCTCCTGTGCTCGAACGCCGCGTAGTTTGCGCCAGAACTGAAGAACGATGATCCCCCAGGGATACGGAGGAGAACGCTTGGAGTGAAACGCTTGAACTCCTTCTTGCGGCTGCGCACATACATAGTACGATGTCGTCATCCGCTGACCCACATGGGGGCCTAGACCCCTAGTAACCCCTGCAATCTGTAGCTGGATACCGCTCTCACACCCTACTACACCTAACTCACCTTTCAAGCAGCCGCATCTCAACCTTTCCAAGAGGTTCGATGTAGGATTCCATCATGTGGATCAGCACACCGGAGTCCAGAACGTGCAGTGTGTCTGCTAGGAATGCCAGGTACATGTTTCCCCACTCTGTGTCTGCGAAATTCCACCTTTGAAGCACGCACTGCAAACATCCAACAGACGACTCAATGTTGTCAAGCAGTCCACATGATATACAGCCCCCATTCAACACGCACCACCAAACCGCGCAACAGCAAACACACCTCGATCGGATGGGTTGACCATAACTTCCGCACATCGTCTGCCTCACCCTTCTTCTTGCACGCCAGGATCTGACGAACAATGTCCCTCTGCTGATCGGGGGTCCGTGGATCAGACTTCCCCACCATCATGGTCAACTCCCCCTTCACAGCATAGCAGTTAGCGCATGGCCGATGCGATCCTTGCTGCAGAGTTGCAAAGGCTCTGCTGGATTCCGGGAAGTCGGCAGGGTATCCGTACAGGCAAGGGACCGCCTTGTGCACCTTCCCGTCCGCGTCTGTGCAGTAGAAGAAGCGTACTGGCGCGCTGCATAGTGCCGCAATGCACACATAGTGTTCACTTAGTGATGGATCGTATGCATATCTCCCAATAGGGTGGCTACTAACTGGGGTGGCCCCCCTTCCCCACCCATGTAGTGTTATCATCCCCACCCCCCTCCCTCCCCGTACCTGGCAAACTCTCGCATGATGGGCGCGAGTATTATCTTCAGTGCCTCCTGGAACACGCGCGTCTTCTCTGTAGGCGACGCCCACTCAGGCGGGAATGGAAGCACCGCCGCCAATGTGTGCCCGGGCTCCACTCCTCGCAATTCTTCGGGTATGTTGATAAGTGAGATCAGCACAGGCCACGCGTTCCTTCGTCCATTCCGTGATGCCTGCGTGCTATCGCTGTATATCAGCACGCCTAGTACGAGTGCCTGGTCGTCATTAATCTCCTTCTGCCATGTTCAGCGCACGGGCCGGTGAGCGTTGTGACACCATTTGCAGGTACCAGTATGCACGAAATGTGACAACTGAACATCAAACATGTGCGTACCTGAGCAGAGTGCATCCAGTCACCTGTCTCCGGTCCTTCAAATACCCTCTCGTTGTTCTTCTTCCGATAAATCTTCCTCGTCTTCCATACGAACCCCTTTTTGGATGAGAACGTCCGCACCAGCTTCTTCAAGATCTGTGTGCGTCGCGTAAAAACGTGGGTGAGAACATGATGCGGGCCAACTTCATCTACGCGTCACCCCGACATCGCCGTCCAGGTTGGCCTCCCATTACGTACCAACTCGGTGTCGCGGAAGTGCAGTAGCAGCTTCATTTGCAGTCCTTTGGGACCCCTCACCACTATCTCCTCCGTTTTCCACGGGACCATGTCGGCTGGAGCTCGCGCCATGCCCCAGCGGCGCACATCCACCCAGTTGCGCCATCGTCTGAGTGCCCTTAGGTTGAAGCGAGGGTTGCGGAAAATGTGTAGCAGACGGTTAACTTTCCGGTGCGACAGATCGGCGTCACGGAAAAACAGGTACAACTCTGTCAGTGTATCAAAAATCTCCGTCCTATCGCTGCCTTCTGAAGACTCGGCGTTAGCGCCGTCGGATGGTGGGTCCGCGTCGCCAACCACACTAACTTCGGGTATCGAGACCGTTGGAGCAACGGAGAGAAAGCTGCCATCGTTGTTTTTAAGCCTGGATGCCGGTGGGGTGTTTGGTCTACTCTCTCCGTCGCACGCAACGGCTTCCAAATATGCTGCCCACAAAAGTTGTTCACGCTTCCTCTTCAACTCCTCGCGACAAACAGCCCCATTCGCTACATGGGACTGTAACCTGTTGTCGTCCTTAAACACCGTCTTGCACACCAGGCAACTGTTCCCCGCCATCCTACAGCCGTGAAACCCTAGGGATTGCTGATGTGAAAACCCTGCCCAGTACCTCTGGTGCACTCTAGTACAACAGAGTTGGGCTGGTTCGAGCACACGCATGTGCAGGAAGCTGTGTTTAGTGCGCACAGAACATCGCCGAACTCGTTACAGTGAATGGATTAATTGTATTATGCGTGTATGTTTTTTATGTGATTCGTCATATACAATTGTCCCACCGCGACACCAATGATTACAACAAGTTTATCGATAAATTAATATTATCATCAACTCTATCCGTAACCACCTACACCATTGCGTAGCTTTGTTTCATTGTCATGTCGATTCACGAATGTTTACGCAAACACACTCCAGCTTAAACTGACGTAACAAAACACATTGTAATCGCGTTTACTAGTTCCTCGAGTTTAATAACCATGTACGACTCGATTGCAATAAACGGGACTCGGCGCGCGATGAAACACATACACCCATGTTCACCATACGCCGTACATCGTTACCGTATTCCGCGTCATTCGGCCACCAGTTTAAAAAATTCGGGCTACAGGTACACGACCCCACATTCGCTTGCATGCATCGGCTTGGTAACCCGGCTTCAACCTCCGACCACATCATCCGAAACCCTAGGCTTAGCACACGTGGATCTGCATGGCGCTGAACCATCACAGCCTCTCGAGTGGTCGCATCACACCTGGCCATCGCATGCACCCTTGCGCCAACGGCCAAGATCATTGCAGCTCTACATGACGGTCCCACCAGCTGGGCATGATACAACAGGGTTTCGCCTTGCTCTCTCCTTCCTTTTCCCTAGTATCCTCATCGCTTGCGCTCGCCGTAAATGTGTTCATACAGCTAACCCCTCGCTGCTCACGTTTTAATCAGCCATGGTACTCAGTATTCTCGTCATTGTAAGATGCTGATGGCGAATCCTAAGCAGTTGACATCTAAGCGCAACCGGTTCTATCAACCCGAGACTAGCAGCAGCTCCGACGACCAAGATCATGCCCCGCCGGCGCGCAGAACCAGGTCGTCGAAGAAGGCCGAGTCTAACATGAAGAATACAGGGCCGATCCTGCAGACTAAGGACTCCGGAAGGGCCAGGAAGTTTGCTACTCATAAGGAGGATACGGCGCGGGAGCAGGTGCCGGAAGATTTGGTGGCCCTTGTCGCACGGAATTACATGAAGTCTTCGTACAGAAACATGACGCTGATAAATCACCGCGGGGTCGGGTGTGAGGTGGATAAGGACGACCTCATGTCGATCGAGGATGATCAGTGGATTACTGATGGCGTGGTCGACTTTCACAACGTGTAAGTATCGTAACGGCGGTCACCTGGTTGACGCTTTGTTGCGTAGTATCAGATATATGTGCAACATCGTATACGCATTGTTATTTCTTGTTCATTAACTTTGCAGGCTGCTTAGCATCCGGAAGCCGACTCTCCGTGACGGGAAAACATGGGCTGCCTTGGACTGCAACGCGTACTTCCAGACGAACTCGTGTGGTGCGCCTTTGACGCTGGGGAACGGGCTTCCGCTACTGGAGCACGACTATCTCGCGATCCCTGTGCTAGAGGGGTACGTATCACAAATATCCGGTTCGTGAGCGGATTCTTTAGCATGACACCGATGGTTGTCTAACCCTAATCCCAACATACCTCTCATGTGTCAGAATGTTATAATTGTCTAGCCTGCAGTGGGGTACTCCATAGTGAGTACAGCCCAATTAGGGTTTGCTATATGTGTCCAACTGCTTGCTAGTGAACATCCTCCTTTCTTCATTCTTTCTTTCTGCTACTACTTCTGACATCATGTTGCGCGTAGGGAGCACTACTCGCTCGTCATCGCTATATCTCCATCGGTGCTCACCAAGTCCGCGAAATCTCCTGGCAAAGAGCGACTGAAGTTGGTCTTGCTGGACAGTAGCATAAAGACAAGGGACACCCGGAAGATTTTTGCAGGCACCAAGCTGTGAGTACGGGGTTCACTGTCGGCGTTGCATGTCGCTGGCAGCAACCCAGATGTTGTGTTAACGATTTCGGCCTGTAACGTGCAGAGTGCTGTCCGAACTCGCCAAGGCGAGTAACCCTGACGCGAACATGGAGTTTGTGGACAAGCAGCTGTTGGAGGCGGATTGCATAATATTACGGGTGAGGTTACCATTGAATGCGCATACCTGTGTGCACAAAGTCTACGAGGGTAGACGGATTGCTAACTGTAGTGTGCGTTTGTCGGAGTGCAGGAGGATAAGCTGCCACAGCAGCCGAACAAGCAGGACTGTGGAATTTTTGTTTGCCAGTACCTGAAGACCCTGGTGACTACCGACTTCACCATGCTATTGAGCGGGCTCTGGTTTCAGGGTGTGACGCCGCACCAATACCGGCGGGAGATGCGGCGCGACTTGTGCGCACACGCGACCGGAGATCTCATTCGGCAGTTGGAAGCACTGGGGATCGAAATCCCTCCGCAGGACGCAGGCCGGGTAACAGAGGGGGGGGCAGTGGTGCGGGAGAGGAACGCTGGTATGGAAGATGTGAGGCAAGCACCGGTCACTCAAGCCGGGGATGACGCACGGGTAACGGCGATGATGAGGGAAATGGCGACTTTGAAGAACGATGTGAGGTACCTGGACGCGAGCTTCACCGTCATAGCCAGTTTTGTGGGATTGAGGCGCGACGAGGTGGTCTCCGCTGCAACCCAACTACTGATGCAAGGTAACCCCGTGAGACCCGGCGCGAAATCAGAGGCAGGTGGCACCAAGAATGCTCCACACACTCCACAACGTCCATCCGGTCGCAAGAGGCGTGACGACAGCAGTCCAGAGGAGGATGGCGTACGCAATGCCACCCGTGTTGCGCTGGCCTCCTCGTTCGCTGCATGTGATCCGACAGCGCGCTTGCTGCATAACCCGCTGCTGTCTGGAGGGACCATACCTCATTGGATGTTCACCCGCGGGAGACCGCTGCTCGGGGTGACGGTGCCGGCTGGAGCTGATGCGTGGGGAGATACGAGAGGCCAGGAGACGGTGAAGGCAGAAGAAGAAGAGGATCTCGTGTCAGACACGGAGGACGAAGCGGATGGTGACGACACGTGTGCAACGAAGTACACAGGAGTCAAGTTGGAGAAAGCATCCGGCAAGTTCGGCGTGAAAATCCTGATCAAGGAAGGAGGAAAGCGTAAGCAACAGCGGCTGGGTGCATACACGTCGGAGGAGGAGGCCGCGTTTGCGTACGCCGCAGGTGCGTTCGTCCTGAGGCCACGAGACAAGATACCCAACACAGTCAGTCTGTCAGCCGCAGAGAAGGCGATGCTGCGTGGATGCACCAAGGAAGATCTGCAGCTCCTGGTGGAAGCGCGGAGGTGGTGGAGGTGGCGGAGCTGGAGGGAGGCGCGGGAGGGCGTGAACTGGAAGCTGAAACGAGGGAGGAAGCGAGTGGTTGCCACAGGCACGTCAAAGAGGCAGAGGGTGGTGGATAGCAACAACACGGCGGCCAACGAACAAGACAACCCTGACAATGCTGAGAGTGGGGGAACGGCCCCTGTGAACAACGGCAGCGGTGGGTGTGCGCGGCACAACGAAGCCGAAGAGGGTGTGGAAGACTCTGTTGCACATGAGAAGTTGGCAGACCATCCTGCATAGTTGATGTAGATGAATAGACGTCCAAATGCATGTCGCTGTACGGTGTGTTTTGTGTGAACTGCAGTTTGAGATTTGCAGAGCGTCATATTTTCTGCTTGTATGCACGATTGATGATTGCGAAGTCTCTTGCGTACACAATGTAGCCCTATTGGTCTTGCGTACATAGTGTGCTAGTGTGACGTGCAATTTGTGAGATGTATAATGAAATGATGTACGTCAACAACGTGTACAGTGAATACGTCCGTGAGACCGGATGTACTCACAAACGAGTTTTAAGGATACGGTTGTGTCGCCAGGATGTGCACGGTGTGTGGTTCATGTGTGCACACATGTACATGGCGGCGGATGACGTGGTGTGCATGTATTAGTCGTTTCGGATTGCGGTCATCCAAATGGCCACGAAGTCGTATTGCCTACCAAACTCACTGCCCAAGATGGGCTCCGGTGTGGTAAGAAGTTGAGCGGAAGCTATACGTAGAAATATAGAACCGCGCGTCATTCTGTGAGCATCTCACTGGATACTTTTGTTGCTACAATGGATACTTCGCTTGCTTCAGAGGATACTCGGACGGGAGGGCGCGCCCGTCGTGTATCTAACCCGCCGGCGTACTTACGGGCGTCGTATCAGCTGACAATGCCGCGCGGTCGGCTGTCGAACGGGAAACGCGGTCCGACACTGCCTAAGCGTCTGAGCGTGGCCAAGAAGGGAAACGAGTTGGTACATCAGGAGCAAGGTATGCAGCAAGAGCGTGGATGGGTGACTCGTTGTATTAATGCGAGTGTTCGTACTGTCTATACGTATGAACCCCCGTGTACAACAACTATAGCTGACATGTGGTACCGTGCTTTCCTGGAGCCTCTGTATCATCGCAGATGACGGCACTGGTGCAGAGAGTGCTTCATCGTCCGAGCGCAATGAAGAGGACGGCGAGGCAGACTCAAACACATCGGCCTCAGCCTCACCCGAAGAATCCGGCGAACCTGCCACGGGAGGGAAGACGGCCGACGATGGGTGTGCGGGAACCGCTTCACCCAAAGCAGACGGGCGCGAAAGTCGGGGCGCGCGGGAGACGGATGTGTTTCGGGGCGAAGGCCGAGGACATGTGGACGGGCATGTCGACCGCGCATGCGGGACCCCAGTGGACACCGACGCCGATGACGTGCGCATCTCGAGCAGGGTTCTCGAGCAACTCATACGGGCTCAGGACAAGAGCGCCAAGGAGAACGCGCGGTTGGAGGCGCTGTTCTTGAATGCAATGGCGCAGCCTTCTGGTGGCTCTCGTAAGCGTAAGGCTCGGAAGCAGAGAGACCCGGAGCAGGGGTGCATGAACCCGAAGCGTCAGCGCGGCGAGACATGGAGCGGCGGGTAGGACGATGACGGAGAGGACGACGAGGAAGATACGCATGGTTCTGGTGGTCGTCATATGCGTACTGCAAAGTCTCCTATTCTGCAACGCGCGTTGGCGCATCTGCCGACTGACAAGGCGTGGAAGGTGAGCGGGCATGTTTCCATCTCGGTTCAGTAGTGATGGTCCGGATTGGGTTGCAATCTGTACCCGTTGATGGTCCACGGTGAATGCTGATGTTGGTGATGGTGTATACTTTGTGTGCGCAGAGGGTTCGCGAGCTGGCCCGAGTTCACATGTTTCTCAACAGGCCTACGTCGTCGATGACCTTCTACCCGAGCAGCGACGATAAGACTCACGGAGTGTGCGCGGTGCTGGACCGCCTGCCTCACAGCTTCGCCTGTTTGGCGTTGGCGGCTGACAAGTCGCGACGAGCGGATCTCAACAAGACGCTGTCGGAGTGGAAGACAAGGGCTGCCGCTCGCGTGCGAGACATTGCACTTCCCAAGCTCGGCCTGTTCCGTGACGACAGGGACGCATACAGCCCGTGGGCACCTGAAAAGGAGCGTAGTATCGAGAAGATAAGGGAGCGCATTGGGCTTGGCGCTGACCCCCCTGGTGAGTGCATGAGACGCGCGCTGGAGTCGTTGACCGTTTATAGTAATGCACCAATTTTGAGAATTGTGGACATTGGTACCGACGCTTATGATGTGGTGTGCAGAAACTCTTGTGCTCACGAGCTGGGCGCACGACAGGGATGGCATGCCTTTTGCCTCCCGGGCGTTCGCGACATGCGCGAAGGCTGCCTTCAAGCCGAAGAAGGCAGGGCTGGTGATGACCCTTAAGGTGTACCACCTGGCCTGGTTGGAGCATGTGGTGAGTGCGTGCGCTCGATGTGTGCAATGATGTGTATCTTACTGGAAATGCATGGACTGACGCTTTGAGTGTTGGCGCAGGTCTCCGACTGCGTCCTCTACTGGGAGGCGCAGAAAGGCCGGCTCTCCAACTCGGCGGGCGGGAATGCCCACGTTGTGGATGGGCTCAAGGTCCTGGTCAAGGAGGCCGTGGAGAGGGCGATCCGTATCCGCAACCCCGAGTATGACGCGGAGCGCGAGGCGTGGATTTGGGGGCGCCATGGCCTGCGCATCTCTGCGTGCGGCCTGGAGCACATGAAGCCCACGGCCGCCGCCCAGTCCGAAGGCACCGTAGGGGATGACGACCTTTCGGCGTCACTTGGTGCTGAGTAGACCGTCAATAGAGGATGTGGGTGGTGGACGGTTGAAGGGACAGCTGGAGAGCTGCGTTGATGGAATCGTGTGGGCCTATGTGTGCGGTGTTGGATGTTTAGCTATGTGGGATAAGGGGGTTGCATGTGTTTGATTGAGAGTTGAAAATGACTGTTGTAGTTAGGAGTTGTGTAACTCATTGTGACAGACCTTGTTATCAATGAGAGAACTCGTTTGGGGTATTGTTGCACAAGATAGCACAGGCAGGCAGAGGAGGCTGTACAATGCGACATGCTGGCGTGAACCGGGTGTGCGGGCGGACTAATGGTGCGCCGCACTTGGCGGCGCGTGTCGCGGAGTGTTCCATATGTCGCGACTGGGTTGGACGTGCCCGTCACAACATTGCGGGCGTGAGGCGCTCCGATTGGATATCATCATGGATAAGCTTTGAACAGGAACCTATGCCCAATTTGACACGCACGCACAAGACTACGCGTGTCACTCTCCAGTACGTTATAACAATCGAATTTACGTCACGGAGTGATGGCGTACTGGTTGGGAACTCGACTTGATATTCGACGTGGGCGCGACAGGTGTACGGTCAAGATTGTTTCGCGCAGTTTGAGCGAATTATTATGGCGAGGAGATGGATGGATGGTTACTAGATGTGCGAGAGGACGATCCGAAGGCAAGTGTACGGGGTAGATCGCGGCTGTGAGCGCGACGTGGCAGCTCGGAGTTGGAGACTATGTGTGCTGATGGACGGTGCGGATGGAGTCGCCACCTTGTAGCGTGTGTAAAACGACTGGGTGGCGAGAAATATGGCGAAGTAAACGAGAATGTGGCGTTGCGACATTTGTACGGCGAGGGTGCAATGTTGGTTAGGGTGAATAGGCATGATGCGCCCTCCGATGGACGCCAAGTGGGAAAATGCTAGTGGGTCCCGTACCCGGGAGTTGCGACGTGCGCACCGGTGGGCTGCTTCCAAGTGTCACGTATTTACGGGCTGAGTGATGAGGAGATGGACGGAGAAGATGCGAGTGCGATGTGTCAGCGATCATTCGCGAGGTGGTGCTCGCGAAGGAGTAACATGATGTGCGAGTAGCTGACCGGGCGACACGTGAACCGTCTGGATTGCGTGAACAAACGGTATATCTAACGGATGGGGTGCGGGTACGTTTTGGTGGGTGAACGCTTACGTGGACCATCGGGTTGATACTGGATGCCACGTGTGTTGTCGCGTACGGATGGCAGTTGTGGTTGCGTAGTTGTAACTTTCTAGTTGGTTGGATAGGTTAGGTTAGGTAAACTTTCATGTGGTGCAGACCGTTACGGTTTAGCAACGACAACGCTGCAGGTATAGTATCTGATTTGATACACGCATGTGTACAGAATGCAGCGGAATAGTGACAGGGAGGTTGCTTTGTAAGTGACTCATGCAGTTCTAAAACCTTGACTTGAAAGTGCCGGGCAAAAAATATCGGGAAAGTTGCGGGAGAGTGTATTTTTAGTTTATTTTCGCACTTCCCCTTTTCGCGATGAAGCTCATGGCCGGACGAGCCAACCTAAACAAACTTATTGCAAAAAGAAAAGCAACAGACACTCGACAACCTCCCTGGTTCCGTCTCACAATGATCAAAGTCACATGATATGATATGACCTAAGATGGACAACGCTTTAGGTGTGCATCTGGCTCAGGACGTGTCAGAAGAGTTGCGGTGGAGACTCTACCCACTAATTGCATGTCAGAGATGATGTAACGTCTATAATAAGTTGTTGTTGTAGTCATACGTTTTGGAAAAGGGAGAAAAATATCTGCTAGATGGATGAGTGCATGACGGTTCCAAGTAGAGGGATGAGGCGATCAAGAAGCATGGTGCTGGCGCGTTATCGGCCATTCAGTTTGGGGTTCTTGAGCGCGTGTCCAGCCTTCTTCAGCACTCTAGGGATGTCAGCAGCAATTGTGCTGGTAGTTAGGCGTGCACTGTGGTGATGACGTTGCTACATGTTACACTTCATTGCATTGAGATGTGGCACAATACAAACACAGCCTTACATCAGAGACAATCCGCTAGATTACACAAACTTGGAGCAAAACAAAAGGCAAAACACTTGGCCTATCTGCCAACCCTTGACGTGGTTGCAAGAAAGCATGATTATTGCCAACCCTTCATCAGTCGAACTTGATTACTCTTCCGGCTGCGACGCGTCGACGCCATGGATGGTGAGGAACCTTCCCCTGAAAATCCCGGCATGCTTAATCTTAGCCTTGCCCTTTCCAATCGCCACCTTCTTCGATTTAGTCGTCGCGTCCACAATCTCATCCGTACTCACGCTGCCGCCATTCACGTTTTTCAGATTTGACGCCTTCGCGAGGTCGTCCTCCTCGTACACGCCGTCGAGCATCTGCGCGCGAAAGAGCTTGGTGTAGGGGTCGACTTCGCCGCGCCTCATGCCGGTTTTCACCATCATGGCGAGCGCGTCCGGGGCTTTGGAAGCAATGACGGTGTCCTCGGGCAGCAGCATGGTTTTGTGGTCGACCTTGTTGAGAAAATCCTCATTCGGGTTCCAGTCGGTCTCTGAAATTATCACGAAGAGAAACGGGAGCAGTGTCAAGCCAAAGAAATATACGGTAACGAAATCTAGTACCAGTGAACGAAATAAAAACGGCGTGCATGTAACTTGCGGAAAATGCAGCAGGGTTTACCCAGTTGAGGGATGACGTGGTCAAGGAGCGTGTGGGTGGCGTAATATTTGTTGTTCAGCTTGGAATCCGCAAGCGCGTCGCGGGTCTTCTTCAATTCGTCGATGAAGTCTTCCTTGGTAGGCCGCGCCGCAGCAGGCGTCAGCAGTGACGCGAGTGTGCAGAGGGCGAGAAGGGAAAGCTGCCACGACGCCATGGCGCGAATTGAAGGTAATCCCGAAACTCCCGTGATTGATCGTGCGAGTGACTTCTAGCGTTGTCAAGTGAAGAATCGAATGTTCGAAAAGTCGGAGTGGTTGGAATTTATGGTTGGACGGAATGTCTCGCAATGGGATATTTATGGTTGGTGACATGCAATTTGGAGCACGTCGCTATTGTGACGAAAAGGACAGTGCGCGAGTGGTAATAACGTTCGCAGCCAATCAAATTTGAATCTTTATCCTCGCTACTTCGCCGCAGCGCAGAATGTTTCCCGCCTATTCCAGAGCGGCCAGGAGAAAGGTTCGTCGCAGCAAAATTCGGCAGAGCGCGCGGTATTTGCGCCACAAGTATTTTGCGGATGCAGCGGGGAGGGGGGAGGGCCCAGTGGAAGGTTCAGGTGTGCTGATAATCCGGGCAGGGCTTTTTACTGGAATTTTTCCCAGCACAGGCGGTGTGGGCACCTCTGATAAACGCCCTGTCAATTTCGAGGGTCTCTCCGAGCTGGCATATGCTCAGAGCTTGAGTGTACTGCCGCCGTGAAAGCTACCTGTTGCCTGAATGTTTTATTGCTACCGCCTGTATGTGTTCACCCTCTCGCCAGGAGTTTGATGCCGCCCCAATGGCACCATGCCTTTCTCTACATTTACCTCTGGAAGGGCGCGATACTGTTGCGACAGGTGTGCAGGAATGCATGCAGGACGGCTGAGGGGGTATCCAGGTGGTTCGCGACTCGCGACGAGAATCTGGGCTCGGCGAGGTCACATCAGCTCGCACGAGAATCTGTACCCGTGGTGATGAAATCGAGCTTAGGAGTCTGATGAAAGGGACTGTATGCGAGCGGTGTGAAAGGGTCGCAACCAATAAGATTTAAGGTTCTTAAACATTCGGAAGTTCGCGGCCGAGCTGAACTCTTTCCCGCCTAAATTCTCAGGGCGGATCGCCTGCCACTGTACAGGTAAAGCGGTTATGGCGCAACTTCATTCGCTAAAGCGCGCAGGTGGGTTTAGTTGCCGCGGCATGCAGGTGGGTAGGGCTGTGGGGGGTTTTGGGGGGGCTGTTCAGGTGTGTCGCGCGCGAATCTCGGCTCCCGGGAGCTGGCTTTTGCAGCAATGGTCGGATCGAAACAACTCTGGTCTGGAGTACATACGTGTTCTGTATATTCAAAGAGTGTACAGAACAGTTTAGGTGTACAGTAAGTGTCAGAATGTATATTTATTAGTAGCCGAGGGATCGATATTCTCTGTTCATGTTTGCAGGCCCCCTTGTTACCTTCTAGTCTAGACAACTCAATCTAATGACCAAGCGCTTCGTCCGTGCGTCAGCTCCTCCCTTGCTGCCGTGCAAGTCGCCGCGTATTGTGATACAGCGCGGTTCACATGTCACATGTCGCCACGTGGAGCCAACACTAGCGTTGCTTCCTTGGAGCCAGAGTAGGAGCCGAAACCCTAGAAGCGCTCGCCTCAGTATTACTCGCACTCGACGCTATCATTCACCTACACGTGTCCCTTGGCGACTCGTCAGCGGCGGGCGACTTCCCCCTCGTCTTGACCTCGTCGTCGGGGTCGTCCCTATCGCCGCCGTCGTTGAGTATCGCATAAGCGAGTCACAAGGCGACGAACGATTCACAGAACCACCGTGCACTCGACGACTGGTGCGACGTCACGTCGACGCTACAACCATGTCGTCCCTCCCCACACCCCCCCCTCCCCTCCCATCGCCTCCACGTATGACACCGTATCGATTTCCCTCCCACCCTTGCCGTCACATTCCGTCCATCGTTATGCCGCGCCTCCCCTCCGAACTGCTAAATACGCCGCAATCGCCGCCTTTGAAGGCGCCGGCAACACAGGGGCAACGGCTGCCTCCCCCGCGCCGTCCCCCTCACCCCTACCCTCATCCTCCGCCGACGCTTCCGCCTCTCCCGCCGACTCCACTTCCCCCCCTCCCTAAAGCCAGCGGCGCGCTGCAGCAGCTGCCCGCCGTGTCTCCCGCTGCTGAAATAATCGGAACCGCGCTGCAGCGCGCCGCCAAGCACAAGCGCGAGAGCAGAGATGAGCGGCGGCGCGGTGCTGGCAGGGCCGGGTGTGTGGTGCTCGTTCCCCCGTGACGAACGGTG